ATACTATTTATTATTTCATTTAAATAATTTAATTTTTCTAGCTACACTTTATCAAAATATTTAACACTAACAAAAATTTTATTACAGAATAATTTATATTAACCTACACTCTCCCTTCTATCACTATACCCACCATAAACTCCGAACCAATACAACCAAGATAAAATATTCCAGCGGCGTTCCAGTACAGTCGAAACGTGGAAATTGCATCTGGTCGACAAACGAACATCGAATAATCGCATTCCTGTCGATCACTGACAATCTCGCTGAAACGGGGGACTTAAAAACCACAGCGAAGCGACAAATCCGTAATCCGACACGCTTATACAATGTTAATGAAACTAGAATCTGATCAAAGTAGGTGGAAATGTTCCACGTGAAGGGAGTTTAATCAGCTGCGAGTTACGTTGGGTGTGGCTGCCTGAAAGACCGTGAAATCAAGGTCGAAATACTAAACGAGCATAGCCTATCACCATCTACCACCAGCTGTAAATCCAAGTCCCCTTGGACTAATTGCATTTCACTAAGAAATAGCTACTGACGTTTGGATGACGTTTTGGATGACGAGGGATGCCACAAAGGCCTAGTAAAATGTCCATCCTTGTGGCAATGAAGGTCTCAGATAGGCAAGAAGCAACTGTCGTACTTAACCTCTTGACTACGGTAGACTTTGATACGCAGTGGCCATCATTATACGGCAAGAATTGAGTTACGATGTGCGCCATTTTTGTGAAAACAAGCGCCCTCCGTGTCATAAAGCCAAACTACGCCGAGCGCTTATAGGCGCCCTCCGTGTCACAAACGCAAAATTTCTGAACGCCCATAGGCGTCCACTGTGTCACAAACGCAAAATTCCTAAGCGCCTATGGACGCCCTCCGTGTCACAAACGCAAAATTTCTAAGCGCCCATAGGCGCCCTCTGTGTCACAAACGCAAAATTTCCAAACGCTCATAGGCGTCCACTGTGTCACAAACGCAAAATTCTTAAGCGCCCTCTGTGTCACAAACGCAAAATTCCTAGGCGCCCTCTGTGTCACAAACGCAAAATTCCTAAGCGCCCTCTGTGTCACAAACGCAAAATTCCTAAGCGCCCTCTGTGTTACAAACACAAAATTTCTAAGCGTCCATAGGCGCCGCCCGTGTCACAAACGTAAAATTCCTAAGCGCCTATGGACGTCCTTCGTGTCACAAACGCAAAATTTCTAAGCGCCCATAGGCGCCCTCTGTGTCACAAACGCAAAATTCCTAAGCGTCCTCTGTGTCACAAACGCAAAATTTCTAAGCGTCCATAGGCGCCACCCGTGCCACAAACGCAAAATTTCTAAGCGCCCATAGACGCCAACAGTAACCAAGGGGTTAAGGAACTGGCCTGGACTTAGGTTAGGGTTTCACCTTCTCTCTGCTAGATTTATCTCATAGAAGAAGTATGAAGTTACGTGGATATTGGATTAGGTGAGGTTAGGAGTTAGGACACTGTATATCGTTCGTTATAAATTCAAGATCTCACCGCTGCGAAGCCACTAGATGAGGTTAGGAAATAGGGAGTTAGGTCTGGATCAGATCCATCACTGGCTATAAATTCGAATTACTTCATCTAAATCCAACTTAGCGAAAGTGCACTATATCGTTTAAAATATTGCACCGGACGAGATGATGGAGTGAGCAGTTAGGTGTGGGTGAGATCTGTCATGGTACGCCATTACCTGCATTCCGATTATCTCTGTTAAATTCGCGTTACAGGAGTTACATTACCTCGGCTGAATATTGATTAGATTAGGTTAAGAAGTACGGAGTTATGTTGAGGTTAGATCTACAACCACCGACCTAACCTCGCCATTACCATTCATTATAAATTCCAATCCTCCTCGCTGAAAAACTGCTACATTAGCTGGGTACATGTTAGATGAGATTAGAGTGTAAGGACTTAGGTCTTTGGGTTAGACCTAACCTCGTCTGCTTCATCTTAACTATAAATTCGAATTTTCTCTGCTACATCCATCTTGTAGAAAATCCCCCTATATTAGCTAGATAGGTACTAGATGTCTTCATAGTATCGGCAGATTTATATTGGTGTCACTGGTCAAGAAGATGCGAGGTCATATCTTTTTAGATGACACATGAACTGACTATTCGCGAAGACCTTTTGTACAGACATGTCTCCAAAGCCCACTACCGAATCACGATATGTATATAAACCAAGTCCAAACTAATTAAGAGTCAGTCAATTCAATTTATATGTTTTAATTTATTTGTTAGGGGGTCCTTCCCAATTGTTGGGGGGGTTGTTATACTCGGTTCGTCGCAGATATCCCTAGATATAGCTATGGTGTTAGGAGGAACCTGGACCTGTTACTGGATTCATCAGTAAGACTACCTAGCAGGGCCTACTTTAGACGGAGCTACTATAGTAATGTTGGGAAATTCTATATATGAGTCGTTCACTACACAAATCGATTAATTCCACTTTTTGAAAATTCTTAACACTAGATTTACGGAACCTGTCAATTTGACGGAAGGGTTACTCCAATTATACGATGGTAACAGATTTAGTTAACTTATATTAAGACTGTTAATATAATATATAATTGTTTTTAAATTAAACTAATCGTTAAAAAAGAGGCACGTGGATTCCTTTACCTGTCAATTTGACAGGTGTCCTTAGAAATAGGTATACAGATAGCATCCGTAAACCTAGTGTTAAATTTAAGTGTCAAAGAACTTGGTATAGTCATGACTTTTTATATTTAAGACTTTTCAAAAAGTGGAGTTAATCGATTTCTGCAGTTTCATATAGGAAACTGAGGATTTTTACCGAGGACTTGCGAGAAAGTCCTCTAACCTCCGTCTAGTAGGCATCCATCTATCGGCGAGGATGAGAATGATACCATCACACGTTTCTTTTGCGTTCTCATAAAAGAATATACATAGTCTTTAACTAGATCTCTATGAAACAATATTAGAATAAATATACAAGGAAATAACCCTTTCTTGACAGGACAAAAACTTAATATTATGCTGTCCGGTGACACCACGTTGGTATCATGTGAAAACTATCAGGCAAATGCCAATGACACCACGTTGGTATCATGCGAAAATGGTGAATCAGTTCTACCAGCAACAAACAAAAGAATCCCAAATAGACGTACAGATGGCATAGTGTTAACATAACCTATACTAGAATACTAATCAATTCCGGGTCTTTTATTTTTATTCGCGTACAGAAAAGGTCCCATCACAAAGTCCTCCAAGTGGAAAGGATCAAACTCTTCCGAAAATACATTTATTGACATAAATAGTGCAACTACAATCATCCAGATCAGACGAGGAAATAAGAGGTTAGGCCTACTAACCTCATAAAAATGATAAAAGTGTACTACCCTAGCTAAAAAGACATGTCAGATAAAGATTGGAAAGCAGATTCAATAAATTGAAAAGAAACTCTAGGTGCACGAATACAGTGGCATCATGCAACGTCGCAGAACTATTCACGAAGTTCAAAAAGTAGAGTGACAATAAGCTTGCCGAGACTCGCTGTGATAGGAGCCCCAGAGGCAGTCTGGAAGGCGCTGATTGGCCGGCAGAGGTCTCAGGAACAATACGCAGTTTCAGTGAGTCAGGGACAATGTAGTCCGTCCCGTCGTAGTAGGGGTTTTACTACACTGTAAACTGTCTTTATTGCGATCTTAGATTTCTCTGGGACGTGCAGATCTCCGCGGGGCTTTTAATTTTCGCTAGGTACGTGTAGTTAAACGTGTCGTGTTTCGCGAGGCGTTGGAAGGACCGGTTTAATAGTTCCGCGGTGAACGATATTACAGTTTAACTGTTTATGCGAAGATTAGAACGCGTATTCGTTTTACGGTGGGAGATCGTTTTGACTTGCGAGTTCAACGTATTTGTGTGCACATGTTATCTCGATGTTAGTGTGTTTGTTATCACGGAGTTGTTAATTAGTGGTTTACTGTTGTCTAATTAGCTGTTTGATTGCGGATATGAACGGATATGAACAGCTTTGACGACGTTCTTTCGCGTTCCTTTCTTTACGACGTGGGGTAACAGTATTTGAATTTCGCGCCATTTGAAACATTTCGTTTTTGGCGCGTCTGTGAATTTTGAATCCGTGATCTGTGACTCGTGTAGAATTTTAAACATTCGTGATCTCTGAATGATTTTGAAGGTTCTACAGTAAAGACTCGACCTTGATTCCTCGTCCTGTGACCTTCAAATTTCCTCGAGTAAAATTATTTTGAATTGTCATCGCGATCTTCAAATGACTTTGGAATCATAATTATTGCACTTCGATGAACTGTAATGATCCTTAACGTCATAATTTCGATCATTTTTGACCTTGTAGGTTTTAAAATGATCTTTGTCCCTAACGTATGACCTCGATAATGAAATGTGACCTTTAAATAACCTTGGACTTCAATTACTTGATTATGATGACCTTCTGTGATTTTCAAATGACCTCGAATAATCTAACCTATAATTTTCCTTGATATTCGAATGACTTTAATTTATAAACGAGTCAATCTTGATGAACATTGTGACCTCTAAATGACTTTAATATCCAATAATTTGATTTCAACGACTATCAATGACTTTCAAATGACGTTCATGTGTAAGTTATTAATCTCGACGACCTTCAAATCATTGTGATCTGCAAAGAATCAATCTCAATGATTCTTATGATCATCAAATGATACTAAAATCCTAATGACCCTCCATAACCTTCAAATAACCTTGCATATCGATGACTCCGAATAACCTTCAAATGATATTAAATGACTTTGAATATCAGTAACATTTTATAACCTTAAAATGATTTTCGTGAAGATGACTTATTATGTTCTTTAAATTACTACTAATGCTGATGGTACAACATAGATGGCAGCACTGTGACATTCAAACAACTCTGAGTATCAGCGACACTTTATAATCTTAAAATGATCGTGTCGATGATTCTTTGTTTTCCTTAAATGATTGCTAATGCTGTCGGTATAACATAGATGGCAGCACTGTGACATTCAAATAACTTTGAGTATCAGCGACACTTTATAACCATTTAAAATGATCGTGTCGATGATTCTTTGTTTTCCTTAAATGACTGCTAATGCTGACGGTATAACATAGATGGCAGCACTGTGACATTCAAGTAACTCTGAGTATCAGTGACTCTTTATAACCTTAAAATGGTCTTGTCGATGGTTCCCTGTGTTCTTTAAACGATTACTAACGCTAATAATACAACATAGATGGCAGCACTGTGATATTCAAAATAACTTTGAGTATCAGCAACACTATATAACCTTAGAATGATCGTGTCGATGGCTCCCTGTGTTCTTTAAACGATTTCTAACGCTAATGATACAACATAGATGGCAGCACTGTGACATTCAAATAACTCTGAGTATCAGTGACACTATATAACTTTAAAATATATTTCGTGTCGATGGCTCTCTGTACTCTTTAAACAACTGTTAACGCTGATGGTGCAACACAGATGGCGCCACCGTGGCATTCAAATGCCCTGCAGCGTCAATGATAAGACTTAGATATGTACTTCCGCGGTTTTCAAGTAATCCCACGATTATTGCGATATAGGTGTAATTTCGTTGTCTTACCGGTCTGGCCGTAAGCGAAAATACAGGCGTTGTACCCTTGGAACGCATTGTCCAGAATGTCGCGTCCCAGGGCATCGAACACCACATCTTGACTCGCAAAATGTTCCGAGCTCGGGTCCAGTGAATAGAAACAGTGATCGAACGCGAACGTTTTTGGTTTGCTCCTGTAACAACAGCAAAAAGTACACCGTTTATCATCGTGCTTCATGGCAGATTTACCAGCTTTGAACATGGAGTAACTAAGGTGAAGCAAATTTCAAATTCGTCCTGTCCAAAAATATTTAAATGAATATTAATAACATCCAAATATTTAAAATGATATATTTGTTAAAATAATGATGTGAATTAAAATAAGAAATTAATAGTACGAATTATATGTAATACTGTGAAAATTTATGCGACCTATTTATAGGATAAAGCAGGGTAGCTTTGAGTGTCTAATATATTATAAATTACTTCATGTTATGAAGAATAATTTTTCTCTTATAATTCATGCGATTCATCAGGAGAAGGTTTATAGAGGAAAGCAGGGTAAATTTCAGTATCTCATACTATGAAAATAATTTTTCTCTCTGCATAAAGCTCAGGTTAAGGAATAATCTAAAAGATATATCATTTTTACAAAATTTGTTACAATATTTCAACTATACCAAATTATATAACAAACTGTGCTGGTGGTTAATTAATTTTGTTGATGATTAAAATAGAATAAACAATTTATTCTCTCTACTAATTCAAACAGTAGATAGAGGAAAAATTTTTAAGGGGTAATTTTATAGCATTAGGAATTTAATATTACAAATATTACTTAACATCATGAAAACAATTTTTCTCCAATAATTCAAATATTTTATATGTAAAAGTAGAACGGAATTCTATATTCAATATATTTCCTCTGCCAACAAAGAATCATTTGATAAAAATATAATTAGGAATTGAATATATATTACACAATAAATTATTTAATAAAATTTTTATAAAAATTTTTACAGGCTAATTTTATAGAATTAGGAATTTAATATTACAAATATTACTTAACATCATGAAAACAATTTTTCTCCAATAATTCAAATATTTTATATGTAAAAGTAGAATGGAATTCTATGTTCAATATATCTCCTCTGCCAACAAAGAATCATTTGATAAAAATATAATTAGGAATTGAATATATATTACACAATAAATTATTTAATAAAATTTTTATAAAAATTTTTACAGGCTAATTTTATAGAATTAGGAATTTAATATTACAAATATTACTTAACATCATGAAAACAATTTTTCTCCAATAATTCAAATATTTTATATGTAAAAGTAGAATGGAATTCTATGTTCAATATATCTCCTCTGCCAACAAAGAATCATTTGATAAAAATATAATTAGGAATTGAATATATATTACACAATAAATTATTTAATAAAATTTTTATAAAAATTTTTACAGGCTAATTTTATAGAATTAGGAATTTAATATTACAAATATTACTTAACATCATGAAAACAATTTTTCTCCAATAATTCAAATATTTTATATGTAAAAGTAGAATGGAATTCTATGTTCAATATATCTCCTCTGCCAACAAAGAATCATTTGATAAAAATATAATTAGGAATTGAATATATATTACACAATAAATTATTTAATAAAATTTTTATAAAAATTTTTACAGGCTAATTTTATAGAATTAGGAATTTAATATTACAAATATTACTTAACATCATGAAAACAATTTTTCTCCAATAATTCAAATATTTTATATGTAAAAGTAGAATGGAATTCTATGTTCAATATATCTCCTCTGCCAACAAAGAATCATTTGATAAAAATATAATTAGGAATTGAATATATATTACACAATAAATTATTTAATAAAATTTTTATAAAAATTTTTACAGGCTAATTTTATAGAATTAGGAATTTAATATTACAAATATTACTTAACATCATGAAAACAATTTTTCTCCAATAATTCAAATATTTTATATGTAAAAGTAGAATGGAATTCTATGTTCAATATATCTCCTCTGCCAACAAAGAATCATTTGATAAAAATATAATTAGGAATTGAATATATATTACACAATAAATTATTTAATAAAATTTTTATAAAAATTTTTACAGGCTAATTTTATAGAATTAGGAATTTAATATTACAAATATTACTTAACATCATGAAAACAATTTTTCTCCAATAATTCAAATATTTTATATGTAAAAGTAGAATGGAATTCTATGTTCAATATATCTCCTCTGCCAACAAAGAATCATTTGATAAAAATATAATTAGGAATTGAATATATATTACACAATAAATTATTTAATAAAATTTTTATAAAAATTTTTACAGGCTAATTTTATAGAATTAGGAATTTAATATTACAAATATTACTTAACATCATGAAAACAATTTTTCTCCAATAATTCAAATATTTTATATGTAAAAGTAGAATGGAATTCTATGTTCAATATATCTCCTCTGCCAACAAAGAATCATTTGATAAAAATATAATTAGGAATTGAATATATATTACACAATAAATTATTTAATAAAATTTTTATAAAAATTTTTACAGGCTAATTTTATAGAATTAGGAATTTAATATTACAAATATTACTTAACATCATGAAAACAATTTTTCTCCAATAATTCAAATATTTTATATGTAAAAGTAGAATGGAATTCTATGTTCAATATATCTCCTCTGCCAACAAAGAATCATTACGGAATTCTATATTCAATATATTTCCTCTGCCAACAAAGAATCATTTGATAAAAATATAATTAGGAATTGAATATATATTACACAATAAATTATTTAATAAAATTTTTATAAAAATTTTTACAGGCTAATTTTATAGAATTAGGAATTTAATATTACAAATATTACTTTATATCATGAAAATAATTTTTCTCCAATAATTCAAATATTTTATATGTAAAAGTAGAATAGAATTCTATACTCAATATATTTCCTCTGCCAACAAAAAATCATTTGGTAAAAATATAATTAGAAATTGAATATATATTACACAATAAATTATATAATACTATGAAAACAATTTTCCTCCAATAATTCAAATAATTCATATGTAAAAGTAAAGTAGAATTTACCCAAGAATTATTTAATAAAAGCACCCTCGAATGCAGTCCCAAATCCTAATTAAAACCCCCTTCCAATAACAAAGTGGCAATATTCAATTAAAATAATTATTCTAAATTGTTCTAAATTATTCTAAAATAAAAGAAAATTATTTTCAGACAAACAAAATTTGTCAAAGATATCTTTTCTCTTAATTAGCACTTTGAAATACAGATTCCCCGTATTTTCTTCTGATTTTATCCATTGCAAGACTTGAAATGCAAGATTCCCAGAAGCTTTTCACAAGAGCACAGACGTAATATAAATAATTACAAATGTATTCCTGGGTATCTTTCATCGATTTGCTAGCTCCTGGGATTTCGCCGGTTGAAAAAGCTACCTGCACGCCTGGAGGGTTGATTTGTAACCCTTTCGATGCCAGAAGCGGTATTAAATCCAGCCGCTTTCCTCGGGGGATGAAACGGTACAGGAGACGAGGGTGGAATCGATGAGAAATTAATCGCGATCGTACTTTCCCGATGATATTTGAATAATTACGAACAACGGACAAAGACTCGATTCATCTGTTATCGGATAGCCTTTTTTAATAATTATTTTAGAAGCAGTAGTACAATTATGATTAATTACTTATGCAAAAAGGATTGCCATTTAATCGCATTTTATCTTCCACGTTTAATCCAAGCTTTTATGACTTATTAATCATGCACAAGAAATTGTTATAATTTAGTTGCAATTTATTTCCTATGATCACTTCATAGTTTTATGACACAGACTATAATCATCGATGATCATCTGTACTGCAAGAATTGTTAAAATTCGTTTTCAATTTTGCATTTTGTTTATTTCTAAAAATTTCTGTGATTTTAATTATTATAAACGATGTCGACTATTTATGCAGAAATAATTCTTATACCTTATTTGCAATTTATCACTTGACACAGACTATAATCATCGATGATCATCTGTACTGCAAGAATTGTTAAAATTCGTTTTCAATTTTGCATTTCGTTTATTTCTGAAAATTTCTGTGATTTTAATTATTATAATCGATGTCGACTATTCATGCAGAAATAATTCTTAAATTTTTTTACAATTTATTACTTGATACAGATTATAATCATCGATGATCATCTATGCAGAAAGAATTCTTAAAATTCGTTTCCAATTGTAATTTCATTTATTTCTAAAAATTTCTGTGATTTTAATTATTATAAACGATGTCGACTATTTATGCAGCAATAATTCTTATACCTTATTTGCAATTTGTCACTTGTGCTAATTTCATAATTTTATGACACGGATTGTAATTATTGGTAATTATTTATGCTAAAATTAATATAATTATTATATTTCGTTTGTATTTCATTCATCTCTACGTTTGTTTCCTTTTTTTATTATTTTTATAATTTAAGTTACTAATGCTATTAATTATTTAATCAGCAAGATTTATTATACATATGTTAATTCCCATTTAAATCACAGAATTCGCAAATATCTTTATGGTGAAATTTTTTTAAACACCGAAGTGTGGATAGAAATGGAAACCAATTTCTTGTACGTTTTTTAACAATTTTTAACAATTAATATATTTATATAATAATACTTCAATATTCACATCAATTCGCAATATAATATTTTCAACAAAAAGATTCACTCTATCTAGAAAATTTTTCTCTATCTCTCGCTCTTTCTCACTCTTATTAACACATGTTTACTATTTGACCATTCTCATGTAACTATTTCATTCTGGCACATTCTTTTAAATAATTTTTATCAATATTCACACTAGATCCCACTCGCACATATTGTAGGATACCAAAAGAAATCGCGAATCGGCTATTGCCAGCAAAAACAAATTGTAAACCGATCGATGTCTTCTAGAAGCAAATCGAAAAGTTATTCTATATAACAAAATTAAGTTGCGTGACTCCTCTACGGGGAGGTGAAGCGTAGGTTAAGGAAAGCATAAAAGCGTGGTCCATGAGAACCAAAACAGAGTCCTTAGAAATCGGTTGCGACCAGCACAAGCGTGAGTCGCTTGGTGTTGGAAAGAGAGTTTTAA